GGTGAGTGGTTTGGACACAGAACCAGAGGTGACCCGTCTGTGACCCTCTCGACTGCGGGCGTTAGGGTAGACACAGAGCCGGCGGCGACCCGTCTACAGACCCACCGCAACAGTTACACTCCCCCGGGGGTGACCACAACATCCGGTCACCACCTCTTCACACGTGTGGGCCATACGGGCCGTATTGGGCCGACCGTCTACTACAAGGCGTTGATGTTTGAGTAGAGGGACTACAGGGACAAAGAGGACCAGTTCTACGTCGACCAGCAGTTGGCGGAGAATCCGCGCCTATGGCTAGACATTAGGTAATACCCGAACCGAGAGAGCGAGCCCTTCATGTTTGACACCAGCGACGAAGTGGACCCACAAACTGGCCAATGGTTGGGGCCGTTGCTAAACGTGTGCGGCTGTCCGGGAGAGGCCGGCATATTTCACTACCCGTGTGTTGTCCAACAGATGCTCCACCAGAGGGACGCCCGGTGCCAGTTCTGCGGCCACTACTACCAGCCCGACCAGAGCCGCGGGTCCCGTATCCGGCGCTACCGCTCAGAGTCCATGTCTTTCCAGCGCTGGTTTGATCCGTTCCGCAGAGGCGGCGGCTTTGGCGCCACAATCAGGTCACAGGCCATGGCGTTGATGTCGGCCGGTGTGCTCGCGTACGCCTTCCTATTGCATTCCGGTGCCGACCGTCCACTAGAGGACGGCTTAAAACTGGGCCTACAGGTCGACGTCAGCCGCACTTTCAGTTAGTTTTGTGAATAAAAAAAGTTTTGTAGAATTGATTGCAATTAACATTTAATTCAAACCATTAATTAAATTGTTTACACATTTAATCATATATTTCTCACATAAAGTGTTATCAAAATAATAATTGATTGCAAAACGACTCTTTATATTTAAAAAAAAGCAAACAATCGTTTGAAATGTTAAAATTGTATGCAATTTTAATTGTGTTCATTTTAATTGTTTATATTTTACAATTTGTTTATAAAATTACTGCAATTTATTTCAAAGCATTGATTAAGGCATAAATTTAACACTAATTGAGATCGTATTAACATTTGTTATATTTGTGACAAGTGTTTGCAAAAATTGAATTCAAGAATTGACCATTTTTAAATTAGATTTAATTAATTTATTTAAATTAATTTTATAAAAATTAATTTACGTTTTATGTAATAATAGTTTTATAGACTTTTAATGTTTTTGACCGCTTTTTGAATGCTATTTGAGTTAAGCATAGCGTTGGCAAACATACAGGAATTTTCACAAAATACAGGAACAATATTAAAACAATTGTTGATTAAAATATAATTTTAATCAATTTATGCAAAAATTAAACTACTTTTAATCTTTTAATCTGTTGTTTAAAATTTGAAAATTAATTTAATTTCAAAATTATACATTTGTTTCGCAAAACATTGTCTGCATTTGAATCTGAGATTTGATCCGTGGATGCGATGGATAGACAAGAGCTTGCATTTCATGACAACTACTCTTTGGACTCAAATACTAATCATTTTCTTGTTTTCAATGTTTAGATGATCTCAAAGACCGGCGAAAGGAATACACGTTTGGATGCAATCCATCGCAAGAGGAATGACATGTCTTTAAGGGGTGAGGACTGGGAGGGCATGTCTTGGGGGAGGCTTTCATGGGTTGTACAGCACTTGAGGTTATGGTCCAGACGTTGAGCGCTTGTAGTGATGAGGAATAGGGACACAAGTGCTGGGGTTTTACTTACAGATTAGCAGAAATTCCATCGTTTGTGGCCTAAGAGTGGATGAATAGACTGATCATTGGATCCATTGGTTGTACAGCACTTGAAGTCATAGTCCTGTGGATTACAGACACCGAGTAGTCTGTAATCGACTGGAAAGGGATATCAAGTGCTGGGGTTTTATTCGCAGATTGGCATCGATTTCATGGTTTGTGGCCTAAGAAGCAAAGGATGGACTTATCATTGGATCCATTGGTTGTGCAGCACTTGAAGTCATAGTTCTGTGGATTGCAGACAACGATTAGTCTGTAATCGACTGGAAAGGGATATCAAGTGCTGAGGATTTCTTATAGATTGGCAATGATTTCATGGTTTGTGGCCTAAGAAGCAAAGGATGGACTTATCATTGGATCCATTGGTTGTGCAGCACTTGAAGTCATAGTCCTGTGGATCGCAGACAACGATTAGTCTGTAATCGACTGGAAAGGGATATCAAGTGCTGAGGATTTCTTACAGATTGGCAATGATTTCATGGTTTTGGACACAAAAAGAAAGACAATTAATCACTAGTTAGAGAAATAGACGGGAAAACACCGGATGTCAAGTGTCAGTGTTTTGATGTCTACCCGAAGTGGACATGAATTGCATCGGAAGTGATGGGCAGAAGACTGTTATTGAGAACCAATGGATTTCAATGTAAAGTATAAAACTTTTTTACAAAAACCTTTTATCTGAAATGCAAACTCTTTTATGTCCATCACATCCACGGATCAAATGCAGCGACAAATTGGTAAATAAACAGTCTTTTAGTAACACATAAATTAAGCATGTATAAATATAAACATAATCATTTATTAAAACCAAAATTAACTTGATTAACATTAACATTAATTATGGCATTCAAATATAGCGCCCATATATCTGCCGCCAAACCAATCAAAACCATTCGCTCGTATGTATCGCTACCTCTCATTGGCTACACTCACTACACGTGTACAACACATACAACACACACTTTACTGACTACTGTATATTAAAGTACCAATACTTCGGTCCACTCTATAACTCATAACTAATGCTAAGTCAATGGCAGTAGTTTTGGTACGTTTTGTGACAAGCATTGCACGCATTGACAAAATCAAAACAAAACTTTTTAATTTTCACTGTTTTTACAAACAGTTTATTTACAGCAAACCATTGGCCCCGAAGTGACCGCCGGATGTGTTGTCCCGACCACTCGTGACCACCAAAATGACCGCCAAATCACCGCAACCACAGCAACAGACACTACAGTTGGCCACTCTATCGGCCACTTATAACATAATATTACAGGTATTGTACAGATTTTGCCGACATGTGTTGATCCAACTGATCCATTATCTTCTCTACCCGTAGATAAGCCTCAGAGTTGTCACGTTTGTGGCCAATGCGGTCATCTTGAGGTCCATCAGTCGGGATGTGTTTGGAGTGATTAATGTCAGGTATTGTCTGGTTTTGATCGCCGATGATATGACACGAGACCATCATTTGGGTTAATGTGTTGTCCACTTATCTGATCCCTTATAGGCTGTTACTGTTGTACACAACCATCCAGTTCTTGAGCCGCGAGCCGTTCCGACGGGTGAGCATCGGCGCCACCAAAACGCACGACTGGCCGCTTGTGGTCAATCTCATCAGTCTTTCGTGAGTGTGTTGTTTAGCCCGTGTTTTGTCTCTCATTATAATTAGGAGATCATAAAAATGTGCGCTGAAGTACACCATCGAGTGTACTGTAATGTCTCTTCGAGAGTGTGTTATTGTTTAATTGTCAATGTCTTTCATTATCACATCCAATAGAATCCCATTATCGCTAGTCTTCGGCACCGTATTGTCGCTGATATGGTATTACATACTGGAACGGCCGGACCCGCAACTGGTGGCCGATTACGGGACAGGAGTTGCGGCCGTATTCGTGTCGGTAGTGGTGGAGTTGTTGGCCGAACCGGTGTACGTGTGGGCGCAGACACAGGGCTTTATCAAACTGAAAGTGGCCGCCGAAGGGCTGTTCCTAATCGTCCGCACGTTAATCACCGTAGCGTTTGTCGCCCAATGGCCGCACCGGGCGGTACTGGTGTTCGCCGGCGCCCAACTCTGCGCCTCTGCCCTCTACACCGCCGTATATTACGTGTACTTTATTGGCGCACAGAAGCAACGCTTCCGTCACTTTATGCCCGATTGGTTTGATTCAAAACAGGTATCAATTGAAGTGATAATTGTTTATCACTAGTGATAGCCCTAAACAACACTACAACTAACCGATCCCTTTGCCCGACAGTCCTCTACTATCGACCGATCGTTGGTCGGCATTACCGCGAGTTTCCTGAAGAACACGGCGTTGAAACAGTTCCTGACAGAAGGCGAACGCTTTGTGATGACATTCTTCCGGGTGTTGACGTTCGCCGAACAGGGCGTCTACGATGTGGTCAACAATCTCGGCTCACTTCCCGCCCGACTCGTGTTCGCGCAAATCGAGGACTCGGGGTTCGTGTTGTTCACGCAGAAGATTGACCGCCAGAGGGCGCCCACCGACCAGACGGGCACCGATTTGCTGGAATCGGCGGTTATTTTGCGTAATTTCGTACGACTCATGTCTCTATTGGGTCTAATTATACTGACGTTTGGCTTTAATTACTCGGAGTTGGCTCTACTCATGTACGGCGGCCGACAATTGGCCGCCGGTGATGGAGGACTGGCCACCCGTTTGTTGCAGTGGCACTGCGTGTATGTCTTGTTTCTGGCGGTCAATGGGATGACTGAGTGTTTCACGTTTGCGGCCATGAATTCGCGTCAGTTGGACGCGTTCAACAAGAATATGGTGAATATATCGGTGGTATTCCTCGTCAGTTCGTATCTGTTTACCAATTGGTTCGGCGCTCAGGGCTTTATAATGGCTAACTGTCTGAATATGGCGGCCAGGATTGTCATCAGGTATGGGCACCTAATGGCCTGATCTTTAAATTTGTCATTAATTGTTTTTATTCTTCGCCATTTAGTGTCCGATTTATAAATTCCTATTACGGGAGCACTAAAATCGATGCCCCACTCAATGGATCCATTCCTCACCTGTGGACTAATCTGTCATTTGTGGCCACTTTTGGCGTACTTTTTATAATAAAGGTTTGGTTTATGTTTTTATTGGTTTTCAAAACGCGTTTTTGAAGTTATATTCAAAATGCAATTTATTTTGTAATTTTTTATTTGATTTTAATTTTTTTGTGTTATTTAATACCCATTCCTCTAATAGCCATACCTGTGCTGCGCCGCCGACTCATCCATCACTCAAGCGATCGCTTATGTAATCCTAGGCTTAATCTGTTTAGCGATTAATTTGATTATGATTTACGTAAAAGAGAGAGATTTAATTGTTTTTGTTATTAATTTATATAAATCTAAAGCAAAAAGTTTGTGATTTTCAGAAATGCGATGAAAAATGCTATTATTTTTTATGCAAATATAAATGTTATAAATTTTTTATTGTTCATTAAAAATCATTAAATAATTTTATATAATTTAAATACAGAATAATATAATGTAAAAAATATCACTTAAAACTGGTATTTATTTAAATGCAATTTAATTAAATCCATTAGTGAACTATCGATACATGTATATAATGATTATAAATGGTTGCAAAATTGCAATAATAATTGCAGTAATTGCTATAATTTCCAGATTATGTGCACCTGTATTGAGTGTTCCGTTATAGTGAAGTTCGTTAACACGTTTAAAATGTATATACATTTGTATACGAATTGAATTAAAAACAATAAAAACAACGAAAAAGCTATTAATTCAAAGCCATGTCTCTAAATATGATTGAATGATAAGCTCCTAATGGTATTAAACGAGAAAATTGTGATTTTGTTGTTATTTGCCGTACAATTCCCATACATATAGTGTGGTTACAGCACTGGGCGCCTACCCATTAAGACAAGCAGCCGGTGCTCTCATATTCATGAGATATTTCATTAGGAGTTTCCTAACGACTCCGTCGACGACCGGTGTTAACGAAATACCCGTTTGTTTTCTCTGACGGATAACTGATAAGCAAATGAATGAAATGCAACCAAAAAATACTAAAACACTTAATAATAATAATCAACGGTTTTATTGTTGGTTTTTATTTCGTTATTTGCATTTCAAACAAATTGTAAAAAACTTTTTTCTTGTTTAGCATTTCATTAACTTTTCGTTTTGCGAAACAAACATAAAAACAATTCATTATTTCATTCAAAGAATAAGTGAACAAAAAAGTTGAAAAATATTTTCTAACCACTTATGAGAGCACCGGTAGTGCACAGGTATATACGCCGATAGGATTAAATGGGTTGAACCCCAGAAATAACTGATCATATTTTTGTTTTACTTTTTTTTGCCAATAAATAAAAATGTAAATTCTATATTTTTTACATTACATTGTTGAAATAATAGTCTACTATTTGTACACACTATTGTACCGAGTGGTCGGGTAGGGTAACCACTCGCCCCCTGTCCACCCGTTCCCCCATAATTAGCGCACACAAAGCTCCATATCTGTCAAAATATAGTATACATTTGCCTTGTATTACAAAGTCGTGATCAAAATCTATTCATTATAACGAGTAATACATAACATAACAAGAATTTGATTTTGTGTTTCAAATCTATTTATATCTATATCTCTCTCAGGATTCTTGCCATACATACGGCGTGTCTAATAAAATACATAATAATTTGTATATTCGTATAATTTATTATTAGAAGAAAAAATACTTTTTATTACATCTATTATTATAGAGGATGTCGTGTAAAACCACGACTAGCCTAACGAAACAACAGACTATTTTCGCACACACAGTGTCAGCCCTCTATACCTGACCCCCTAATCAGGTCTCTCTCTCTCTCTCTCTCTCTCTCTAACTTAACACTGGCTTTCAATATACATGAAGAGGTGCTCCCACTTATATACCTGTAGTATCCGAGTGCGAGAATACCTGTTCGCTCAGATGGTGTGTGCAGTTGGTATACACTTTTGGTGAGAGAGCAGCTGCACATCGCACAGGTATGTAAAACTTTGTATGAGAGAGAGAGAGAGAGAGAGAGGCAAGTCGTTAAGATCCCATTCCCCTCTACCTGTGACGACACGACGGTGTGTTGGGTTGTAGTGTTGAGCACAGACTTTAAGTGTATAATATTTTTTGTTTGCTGAGAGGGCAAGGGATGCAACATATCATATACCTGTGCCATCAGTTTTTCTGGTTGAGAGTGACTTCTCAAACGATATATACAAAGAGGCGCACACTTGGCGTTTGTGGACAACAACAGGGATGCGCTCTTCAATCAGTGCCTGAAATGTGATTATTTCCATTCAATCGCCGGACTATTACTTGTTTTGTGTATTAGTTTTAGTTAATTATCGGCTAATTTAGTGCCAAATTATGGCGTTTTTATGTCCGGTCCGTATGAGGAGAGGCAAGAAGAAAAAAGGTCTGTCCGTCACTACCTGTCCATTGCTTTTCAAACGCCTGTCCCATAGTTTTATTTGACGCAAAAACTTAACTTATTATAATAAAAACAAGTTTGCTTTTCACGCATACAAATGCTTGTCTATAAAAAATTAGCAAATATTTATCTACTTAATTATTATCCACGTCTACCCCAACCCCCCCCTCTATGGACACCTAAACCCCTTGGCTTTCAACTAATATGTATTTTCCTGTCCCCCCATAACTAATCGGCGCCTTTGTATCCGTTTATCAAATTTTCGTTTGCAATTCAATACTTTATAATAATTTTTCTCGCTTTTTATTTTTATATAAACTTTTTACTTTCTCATTGTCTTTCTATTGTGTGTTTGGTTTTCATTGATATATCAGTTTTGCATTATGTATGCGATGCCAATCGACGCCTCCACCCGTCGCTATACCTACCCGTTCCCCCATATTTGTACATTTATAAGTAATAATAATAATTTATTATTATAACTCTATGTGAATCTATGATTATGTGTGTTTTCCCCTTTAAAAAGTTCAATCTAAATGTAATTTTTAAACTCAAAATAATGTCTGTGCATTAATATGCATTCTGTTCTGTCCTGTATCTACCCGTGCCCTCCCATACATGTGCTCTCAAAAAGAGATATCTAATAAATCATCGCAAAAAAAACTATACATAAAAGCATTGAAAAAAATGAATTAATAAAATAACAAACTTTATTATATTTCACAACACAATCCGCACAGAAAACAACGACAAACTGTCGACACCGCCATCGATCGGTCGGATCACTGGCAGCGCGTCCATCGAAACGCTGGTACGGGTGGGCATCGAGAAAGAGCACGGCCTGTCGCCCGACTCCAAGATGGTTGTGCTCCACGACTTCCAGCCCTGTGTCGACGACGAGCTGGAGGTCCGTAGGGGACAGTTGGTGAACGTACTCTACCAGGAAAACGACTGGGTCTACGTTATCGCCGCCGACAATCACTCCGAGGGCTTTATACCCCACTCGTACTGCGCGCCCGTCGAGAGCCATTTGGCCGCTCTGGCCATGAATATCAAGCACAAGAAAATGCCCCGCAGTATAGCCGGCGGCGAGTATGACAACTATGGGCTGAGCGGTGGGGGTGGAGGTGGAGGCAGTGGTTTTGGTGGCACCGTATGCGGCGATCAACTGTCCATCGCTAAGAGCGCCGGTACGGGCGGCGGCGGGAGTGGAGGCACTCATATCGGCGGCAATCAGTCGGAGTTCGAGTGCTTTCAGGTGCATATGTTGGGCGGCGGGTCGGGCGCCGAGTGTCACCCGTTTTTCAAGGACCCCGCGGGCAGGTATATAGTGTTGTATACGTTTATAGCACGCGATGAAAACGACGTGTCCGTCGAGAGGGGAGAGTTTG